TATATATACAAAAATTAGCCAGGTGTGGGAGCATGCGCCTGTAATCCCAGCCTGATCAACATAGTAAAACCCTATCTCTACAAAAATACAAAAACTAGCTGGGCATAGTGGCAGGCACCTGTAGTCTCAGGTACTTGGGATGCTGAGGCAGGAGAATCGCTTGAACCTGAGAGGCAGAAGTTGTAGTGAGCATGTATAGTGCCACTGTCCTCCAACCCAGGCAAGAGTGAGACTCTGTCTCAAAAAAAAAAAAAAAAAAAAAGACAGGGTTTGATATGTCGCCCAGGTTGGAGTGCAGTGATAATTCACAATCATGGCACACTACAGCCTCGAATTCCTGGGCTCCAACAATCCTCTTGCCTCAGACTTAGTAGCTGGGGCTACAGGTGCTTGCTACTGTACCTAATGCTTCCTTGTTCTGTCATTAAGCCAGGTGTGGTGGCCCATGCTTGTAATCCCAGCACCTTGGGAAGCTGAGGTGGGAGGATCTCTTGAATCCAGTAGTTTGAGGATAGAGCCACTGCAATCCAGCCTGTCTCTAAAATTAATAGTAACAGGCTGGGTGCGGTGGCTCATGCTTGTAATCTCATTGCTTTGGGAGTCTGACGCTGGCAGATCACCTGAGGTCAGGAGTTTGAGTCCAGCCTGGCCAATATGGCAAAGCCACATTTCTGCTAAAAATACAAAAATTAGCTGGGAGTGGTGGCTCATGCCTGTAATCCCAGCTACTTGGGAGGCTAACACAGGAGAATCGCTTGAACCCTGGTGGTGGAAGTTGTAGGGAGCCGAGGTTGTGTCACTGCACTCTTGCCTGGGCGACAATGTGAGAGTCCGTCTCAAAAAAAAGAAAAGAAAAGAAAAGAAAAGAAAATTAATAATAATAATTAATAAAAAATAAAATAATAGGGTTCTGTCACCAAATGCTGAGTGGACAGAGCTGGGATTGGAATGAGGCAAGTGAGGTATGTGCCTCAGGCACAGAGTTTAAGAGGACTTTTAGAAAACATGATTAAAAATCTGGTAATCAAGATAAATATTATTTAATAGATATTTTATACATCGAATAATATATTTAATAAATAGTATTTAATGCAATATTTTAAAATAATTTTTAACATCTAAATGAATGCAAAAAAATCCATTATGAACAGACTATCTCAACTTTAAATGAAAATAAGATCTGTATTCCCGATTTTCCTTCAGTCTCAGGCTTGAGTCTGCACTGTGTCATTACTGAGTCTCCCAGGATTCTGGCTCAGACAACTAGTGATGGGAAATTCAAGAGAGGCAGTCATTTGCTTGTTCTGATGGGGGTGAAGGAAGAGAAAGAATCTGGTCTTGAACATAATGAGTTAGATGTGTCTGTGGGGCATCCAGGTGGGCACCTCTGAAGGCTCACAGCAGGGTTTGGGTTAGCAATGAGGAGGCACTGGCTGGGTGCGGTGGCTCACGCTTGTAATCCCAGCACTTTGGGAGGCTGAGGCGGGTGGATCACCTGAGGTCAGGAGTTCAAGACCAGCCTGGCCAACATGATGAAACCCCGTCTCTACTAAAAATACAAAAATTAGCCGGGTGTGGTGGTGAGTGCCTGTAATTCCAGCTACTCGGAAGGCTGAGGCAGGAGAATTGCTTGAACCCAGGAGGCAGAGGTTGCAGTCAGCCAAGATCGTGCCACTGCACTCCAGCCTGGGCAGCAGAGCGAGACTCCATCTCAAAAAAAAGAAAAGAAAAGAAAAGGAGAAAGGAAGGAAGGAAGGAAAGAAAGAAGCGGGAGTCTCTGCGGGAGTCAGGTGAGAACTGGTGGGAAGCAGACAGGACACCATTATTTCACATACTTGGCCCACGATTGGAGCATATTCAGCACATGTGGTCCAAATCATTGGTCCTCGGAGTTTGCATCATAGTTCAGGAATCTTTTCCAATTCTTTCCCATCCAAAGCGTTTCTCTTCTGCATCATGAACCTCAGATATGTTCCCACATGGGTATGAAAGTTTACTGCTTGGGTGTTAAAACAAAAACATCTGAGGAAATTAAAAGCAACTAAATTCCGCTAGAATTGCGTGGGTGGGGCGGGGCCATAGAGGCGGAAGACAAGAATTAATAGAAATTGACTCAATTTCTTCTTTATTAGCTGATCCACCAGAAGGAGAATAAGAGCTAAGAGAAGCTAAAAAGAAGAAAGGTAGTAGTAAAGGAAAGACCAAAAAAAAAAAAAAAAAAAAAAAAGGAAGAAGGAAGATTATAGGAGCTAAAAATACTGTCAGGAAAGTTTGGCTAAACATCAAAGAAGGACAGATGTGTTTGCAAATAGAAGCGGTGGTTTAGATATGTCAGGAAGCACAGCTCCAAATGATGGGTGGAAAATAAAGGTTAGTGAGACTGAGCTCAGCAGCATAAAAAACCTTCATGGAAGAATCAAACTAAGGAAGAGGTCTTTCAGCAACTTGGAAGCCCTACCGCTTTAACCCCGAGTTCCCCGGATCAAGTGCTGGCACCCATGATGGAAATTCTTGCCATGGTTTCAGTACCCTGGACCAAATAGTCATTCTATCTTGACTTTATAATTCTAAACAACCTTTGATGGGACAATCTCTGCTAAAGACTAACCACTTCCTTATCTTATCTTCAGCTACCTGCTTCCCTTTCCATGTAACAAACCATAAAATATTCTGAACCACTCCCATAACCAGGGGATGTAGCTCCTCTACATTCAACACTTCTGTGAGGTCAATCAACGTGACAAATACATAATAAAGATGAATCATGAAAGTCGGATACCCAAGTCAGATCAGAAACATTCCCTACTTCCAAGAGGCTCATTGCTGGACCTCATACACTAGATTATTTTTCTTTGTTCTTTTTCTTTTTTGTAGAGATGGGGTCTTGCTTTGTTGCCCAAGCTCATCTTGAACTCCTGGATTCAAGTGATCCTTCTGCCTGAGCCTCCCAAAGTGCTGGGATTATAGGTGGGAACCACCACACCCGGCCATAAACCAGATTGATGCACATGAGTGACCTGAGATGAAGATCATATCAAATGTTGCATTACATCACTTAGACCATGGGCAACAGGAGCTCAAAAAACGGTCAGATGAGTAAATGGACCATAATATTAATAACATTCACATGGTCAGGCGCCCCGGTGGCTCACGCCTGAAATCCCAGCACTTTGGGAGGTGAAGGCGGGTAGATCACAAGGTCAGGAGTTTGACACCAGCCTGGCCAACATGGTGAAACCTTGTCTATGCTAAAAATATAAAAATTAGCTGGGCGTGGTGGCGGGCACCTGTAATCCCAGCTACTTGGGAGGCTGAGGCAGGAGAATTGCTTGAACCTGGGAGGCAGAGGTTGCAGTGAGCTGAGAAATGTGCCACTGCACTCCAGCCTGGGTGACAGATTGAGACTCTGTCTCAAAATAAATAAATAAATAAATAAATAAATAAATAAATAAATAAATAATAACGTTCACATGGGATGGGTGTGTTGGTTCACAGCTGTAGTCCCAGCACTTTGGGAGGATCACTTGAGCCCAGGAGTTCCAGACTAAGCTGAGCAACATAGGGAGACCTCATCTCTACAAAAAAAAAAAAATTAGCTGGGCATGGTGGCACAAGCCTGTGATCCCAGCTACTTGGGAGGCCAAAGTGGGAGGACTGCTTGAGCCCAGGAGGTCGACGCTCCCATTAACCATGATCACACCACTACACTCCAGCCTAGGTGACAGACTAAGACCCTGTCTCAAAACAAAAACAAAAATACAAAAAAGCAAATATTTATTGAGTGCTTACTATACACCAGGAGCCATGCCAAGTACTTTAGATGCATTGTCCCACTTCACCCTCACAATAATCCTTAGGTAGGCACTATGACTAGGCCCATTTCACAGCTGAGGAAATTAAGGTTCACGGGTATGAATTCACTTGCCTAATGAAAGATGGATCTGGGATGCCAATACAGGCAGACTCTCTCATGAGCCTAGAGGAAGTCTCATGACAAGGACAGGACTAGAACTGGGCCTGGGCATGGTAGATGGATAGGCTGACTAACAGCGAGGCCAGGCATCACGGTGATAACTGTGAGCGTTTAAGAACAAGGACAGTAGGGCTGGGTGTGGTGATTCGTTCCTGTAATCCCAGCACTTTGGGAGGCCAAGGTGGGTGGATCACCCGAGGTCAGGAGTTTGAGACTAGCCTGGCCAACATGGTGAAACCCCATCTCTACTAAAAATACAAAAATTAGACAGGCATGGTAGTGCGTGCCTGTAATCCCAGCTACTTGGGAGGCTGAGGCAGGAGAATCCCTTGAACCCGGGAAGTGGAGGTTGCAGTGAGCCAAGATCGTGCCACTGCACTCCAGCCGCCTAGGCAACAAGAGTGAAACTAAAAAAAAAACCAAAAAACAAAAAACAAAAAAAAAAACCCAAGAGCATTATACAGGGCATTGTAGACTTTGGTTGGGTTGGGTTCAGCCTTTGTTGGTTACTTGGGGCATGATAATTGAGCAATTTGTGCCTCAGTTTCTTTATCTGTAAAACAGGGAATAGTACTCAAATTCATAGGACTGTTGGTGGCATTTCATGACATGATGCTAATAAAGTGGCTAGAACAGTGCCTGGCCTTCAGGAAGGATTCAATAAATACTAGTTTTATTGACATAGGAGAAATAGGTTAGACCAAGGTACCCTGGGTTAGTTTTAAGGAAGGCTGAGAGGGTTACCTGTTGTGGCATAGTCAATTGAAGTGAGTTACAATGAAAGCAAAGAAGGCAGAATTTGACTGAACTTGAAGAGTATGTATCAAGTACTGCCCATGTGAACAGCTCTGTGCTGGAAGAAGGAGATTGAGGCTGGGCACAGGCTCACGCCTGTAATCCCAGCACTTTGGGAGGCCAAGGTGGGTGGATCACTTGAGACCAGGAGTTTGAGAACAGCCGGGCCAACATGACAAAAACTCATCTCTACTAAAAATACAGAAATTCGCTGGGCTTGGTGGTGCGTGCCTGTAATCCCAGCTTCTTGGGTGGCTGAGGACGAGAATTGTTTGAACCCCAGGACGTGGAGGTTGCAGTGAGCTGAGATCACGCCACTGCACTCCAGCCTGTGGACAGAGTGAGTAAAAGACCTAGCAGAGTCATTGAGTAAAAGACCTAGCAAAGTAAATCTAACAGATGAGTGTCTGGAAAGATGAGGTGCAGGAAAGCCAAACTCAAGATGGGGAAGAAGAAAAGAGAAACAGATGACCTACTCCTATTATGCCTTTTTTTTTTTGCTTGACATTTCCCTCCTGTCCCTGCTTTGCAGAGTAAAGACAGATGGTAATTTCCAGGTAGCCCAGGAGCCCCGTGCCATTTTTCCAAGATTGACCAGCTTTGAAAAGTTGCTTGCCTGCCCAGTCTCCAGACATTCGCAAACTCTTCCCAAAGACAAACCCTTTCCAAAGCCCCGCTCTAAAACCGACCCAGCTCTTAGGAGGTGAGGCCAGGGCTCGCTACTGAAAGGAAACCATTGTCCTCCCAAGTGTCTGTGGGTCCAGCTGCCGTAGGCCTGGAGGTGGTTCCACCACAGCCTGTGGTGCGGTCCGCCTGCAGGCTTTGATTCACTCCAGGGACAACACTTAAAAACTCCAACAGGCAACACATGCGATTCCAGGAGCCCCTGCCAGATTCATACTCTGTTTTTCCATCATTTCACTCTCCTCCCCCTCAGGAGGGAGGCTCCCGAGGCATTTTACAAATAAAAAAATCAAACCCACCAACAGGACGAGCACCTGATAAGGAGTGAGGCATTGCCCAAGAGTTCCCAGGAAGAGGCGGCTTTGTTCTCGTTTCAAGCCCTTGACACTGCTAACAGCTCTAATTACTGCATTTGCCATGGGATGTAAAATAAAACCACATTCCAGAAACCATGTAGTCTTCCTGGGAGAGACACGCAGGGAAAGGTGCCCAGGGCTGCAGGAACGTGTTCTTTCATTTCTGGTCCCTAACCTTGGCAGCTATTCTGAGAACTTAACAGTGCCTCCTTTATGTACATGAAGGAGGGCACTTTTGCACATGTAGGGATGCATCTCACTACCTGTATCCCCAAATCTGGTCCGCACATTTGACTACATTTCCTGCAAAACATACTTCATAAGAACATGAAGATCTTCAAAATTCATCCAAGCCATTTTGGGGGAAATGAGGACTTCAGAAGTTTCTGAGGCTAGAAGCAAAACCATATAGAACTTCTTCCCACATAATTTAACTATAAAGTCTGATGATGTAACACCCACCCACACCCACATCACAAACCAAAGTGACATCACAAATACTAGAGATAATGGCTCAAAGCTGCCGGCATTAAGCCCAAATCTAAACAAACAGCAATTTGCCCATACGTGACTGAGGCAGAGAAAGACAGGTGACTAGAAATATTAAAACAAAACAAAACAAACAAACAAAAAAAAAACAGAGAGCGAGAAAAGGGAAAGAGAAAATATATATTTCTTCCCCCTACTAAGCTAGCGAAAATAAAATTTAAGGCAACTGAAATATGGTAAGGTGATTTTATTTCTATAGATGACATTTCTAAGAAAGTCAGGTCTCTTTAAATATGTGATTCTGATCTATCCAAATTGTTCTGTTGCTCTTAGTTGGCCCCAGGAAATGGAGGCCGGCAGCATTAATGTTTTCATATTGCTTTTATGGTCCCCAGAGGATATTGATTTCCCTGTGAATGAGCTCTTCTTGGCACCTGGCCGTTGGTTAGAAAGTGTATTCAGCCGGGCGTGGTGGATCACGCTTGTAATCCCAGCACTTTGGGAGGCTGAGGCAGGCGGATCATCTGAGGTCGTGAGTTCGAGACTAGCCTGACCAACATGGAGAAACCCCGTCTCTACTGAAAATACAAAATTAGCTGGGTGTGGTGGCGCATACCTGTAATCCCAGCTACTTGGGAGGCTGAGGCAGGAGAATCACTTGAACCCGGGAGGCGGAGGTTGCGGTGAGCCGACATTGCGCCATTGCACTCCAGCCTAGGCAACAAGAGCTAAACTCCGTACCCGCACCCCACCCCCACCATAAAAAAGAAAATGTAAAGCGTATTCAGGGTTTGGCAGAACTTACTGGCTGTCATGTCTGTGTTGCAGCATAGTTGAGTGTCTACAGCTCATATGAAGTCTTGAGTGACCCTGCCTTCCATATTTTCCAGCAGGCAGGAATTGCCTTCAATTCCTCGTGAACCCTCCCTGACCCCTGACTTCCTGCCCCAGCATGCTATGTTCTTTGAGAGCCTGAATATTACTGTAACCTTGTGGAGTTACTATCTCCTCCCTACTTGGTATAAAAGGCTTTAGTGAGCAGGAGAGGACATATAGTAAAATTCTAAGAACTGGGTGGAAGGAATGACCTATAAAAAGATGTTAACATTTTGCCTTCAAAGTAGATCTTTTATTCTCTGCTGAAGAACGGTCCTTTTAAAATTCATTTCTCCCTCTTATAATTCTAGCACCCCATCAATGTGAGACAAGACCCCAGCATCCCTATCTATGGACTCCGACAGTCCATCTTATTAAATACCAGGCTTCAGGACTGCTATGTGGACTCACCAGCTCTCACCAACATCTGGATGGCCAGAACGTGTGCAAAGCAGAACATTAACGCCACAGCACCAGCTACCACTTCCTCTTGGGAAGTTGTAAGGAACCCATTAATTGCCAATTCCTTCTCCCTGGTTAAGCTTGTACTCAGGCGGCAACTGAAGAATAAGTGCTGCCCAGCACCACCCAAGTGTGGAGAAGCAAAACTCTCGAAGAGATTAAAGCACAAGGACGATTCAGTGATGAAAGCCACCCAGCAGGCCAGGAAAAGAAACTCCATCAGTTCCAAGAGCAAGCGGCCAGCAGGGCACAGGAGGCCTGCAGGAGGCATTAGAGAGGTAGATGAGGGCCAGTGGTGGGGAAAATGTGACGGGCGAGGGGAGGGAAAAGATAAAGCCAGAGAACACTAACGGTTGAGATTATATGGCGTGCAGCTACCGCCTGTAATCTCAGCACTTTGGGAGGCCAAGTAGGGAGGATCGCTTGAGCTCAGAGAGTTCAAGACCAGCCTGGGCAACATAGGGAGACCTCATCTCTACTAAAAAAAAAAAAAAAAAATTGCCAGGCATGATGGCACATGCCTGTGATCCCAGCTACTTGGGAGGTTAAGGAGGGAGGATTACTTGAGCCCAGGAGGTTGAGGCTGCAGTGAGCCATGATTGCACTACTGCATTCCTGATTGGGCAACAGAGCAAGACTCTGTCTCAAAAAACAAACAAACAAACAAACAAAAAACCACAAAGATCAATACCAAGTGAAGGAAATCCTAAAGTTGAAGACAGAATGTGGGGAGGAGGTGTAGCATGTTAGAGTGGAAGAATGCCCCTGATTGTGGGGTCATGCTATTTATCATTTATACCATATCATTTATACTATGCTTAGTTCTAGAGAAGGATGAGGTGGCTTTCACAACCACAGACTTGACATGAAGGAAAAATAAGGGTGAGAAGGAAGGCTAGGATATGGGTAGTGCGTGCTTATGTGCACGTGCACACGCGCGCGCGCGCACACACACACACACACACACACCAGTGGTCGGCTATAGATTTGGATTGTGAGCGTCCACATGGAGAACTTCACCTACGAAGGCCTGATTGGAGTCCAGGTCTGTTACCCCATGGTGGCCAGCAGAGCTCAGTGTACCCTGGAGCTAGGCCATCAAGATTCAAATCCCAACTCTGACTATAACTGAGGACGACCTCGGGCTTAATTTCTTTGTGCCTTGATATTATCATATTAAATGGAGGATAATGGCCCTTCCCTCACAGGGCTTCATGAAGATTAAATAAGTCAATACAAGCAAAAGGCTTTTGAACAGAGCCTGGCAGAGGGTAAATAATTAGCATCTTGAGTGGTATTCAATAGATGACAGCTGTGGTTATTAACCTAGCTGTGTGGCCTTGGGCAAACCAATTCCAATTTCTTTGCCTTTAAAGCTGTCTCCTGCTGACCTCACAGGGTTATGGAGAACACACATAGTGGTATGTACATAAAGGAATTCAGTAAACTAAAACATGCTAGACAAATGTTGGTTGTTGCTGTAACCAAGACTCTGGGACACAAATCCCAGATAATTATTCTGAGCTCCCCTCTCAAGTTTTAGCTTTGACTTCTCTGCTTTCTTCCTGGCTAGAGTAAAGAAAGTTCAAAGGAGAAAAAACTAACAGTCCGCCAAGAGCTTGAGGACAGATATGCTGAACATGTGGCTGCCACCCAAGCACTACCCCAAGACAGTGGGACAGCAGCCTGGAAGGGCCCAGTGTTGCTTCCTGAAACCCAAAAGAGACAGCAGTTGTCGGAGGACACGCTAACCATCCACGGTCTCCCCACAGAGGGTTACCAGGCTCTGTACCACGCTGTGGTAGAGCCAATGCTGTGGAATCCTTCAGGGACCCCCAAAAGGTACAGCCTGGAGTTGGGCAAGGCCATTAAACAAAAGCTCTGGGAGGCTCTGTGCAGTCAGGGTGCCATCTCTGAAGGTGCTCAGAAGGACCGGTTCCCTGGCAGGAAGCGGCCAGGTGTCCACGAGGAGCCTGTACTCAATAAATGGCCCAAGTTAAAGAGCAAAAAATAGGAACAGGAACTCATGGGATTACGGTATTCTCTGCTAGAGATCTGAAAAATAAACACAACTTTGCACCTTCCCTGTCATCTGAGTGCTTTACAAATTAGCCACACCCTCTCAGGGAAACAAAGAGGAACCAGATTCACTCAAGACCAACGGTCCCTTTCCACTCATGATTAGGTCATTTTGAGGGGTAGATGCTGGGAGTATTTTTTCCTCCACGGCCTTGAGGGTCTGTTAGTCTTCCAGGTAGGAAAAGGCCTGACAGATAAAGCAGATGTTTTACATTCAGGCTATGGTTCCTTATTTCCTTCCTTCTTTCCCTTTCTTTTCTTTCTTTTGAGACAGCTCTGTTGCCCAGGCTGGAGTGCAGTGGAATGATCATAGCTCACTGCAGTCTCGACTTCCTGGGTTCAAGCAATCCTCCTGCCTCAGCCTCCTGAGTAGCTAAGACTACATGTGGACCCCAACATGTATAGCTTTTTTTTTTCTCTTAGTAGAGAGATGGGGTCTCACTATGTTGCTGAGGCTGGTCTCCAACTCCTACCTCAAGAGATCCTCCTGCCTCAACCTCCTGAATAGCTGGGATTATAGGTATGAGCTCCCACGGCTGGCCATATGGTTCCCGATTGTTAAAAAGTGGACCACTAGGCTCGATCACTATCACTCTCCCTAGCTCCTTCTACATAGGGCTGAGCAGAAAGCCTACCATTCTCACAAGGATATAAACCCACACACCCTATAACAGATGCTCTCCTGTGACACGGCCTAAACCCCCAGTAACCTGGATTCTATATTAACAGGAGAGAAAGTTGTATGAACGCTTCCATGGGCAAGTAGAAGTTAAAAGTACTGCCCCATGCGAACTTCCCCTTGTTGAATCTGTAGACTTTTACTGAACAGAGCAATGACGACATATAACACATACTTGATAAAATTGTATTTTTTTTACAGTCATTTGTACAATTTGTTACAAAACCATAGAAGACTACAACTTGTTTTAAATCATTTTTGGTCTGCAAATATGTAAAATCTGTGTGCAATTATCATGTATTTACAGGGTCTTGTGTTAGTCATTTTCAATGATTATTCCAACAATGTCACACTCTCAACATAAGACATGGCTTAAGATAAATATATTAGTAAATAAATATTCTGAGAACATATTTCCATAAATGAAATGTGCTGCTATACATATACAGAATATACATAAGTTGTTTTCTAGCTTTTAAAACATTTTTAAAAAATGGTAATGTTGGAAAAAGAGCCCTTAGACCATTTTATTACAAAATCTTTACAGCAAAGTCTTTACAAAATCTCTTTTAAGTGCTATGGGAGAAATTAAAAAATTTTAAAATAGTGCCCTGTTAGACCAACACAATAGAAAGAGTTCACATAAAGAGTAGAAAAAGGCAGTTCTGTTTAAAGAATAATATTCTCGATTAGTAATTTTTTTTTAGACCTCATTTTAAAAGCATTAGTCCTGCACAAACTTCGAGTAGAGACTAGCAGCACATAATATGTGAGCAGTGGGACAGATGGGGCTTTATTTTATAAAAGGGCTTGGGTTTAGGAGGAGATGGGGAAGGAGCTGAGGTTAAAGCCAGTTTACTGGGGCTGCATCCGTAAAGAGGTACCTTGTTGGTAAATACCCAAACTTCCACGTTTAGCTGGTTCTAGAACTCTTCACCGTACATGGCTGTCCTACACCCAGGGCTGGGTCACTTAACCATGCCCAACTGTCACACCCCAACTTAGAGGGATTGGGGGCAGAGGTTCTCAGCAGAAAATGAGATACTCCCAGTTTCCATGGCTATAAAACCACTACAAACCACTCAAGAGTCCACCTAAAAGGGTATCTGTCATTGGTGGAATCTTAAAACTTCAAAGAGGACATTTCTTTTGATTTATGTGTGAAAAAAATAAGACCATTGGTTATTTTGTTCTGGTGATCTCCCTGTCTGAGAGGCGAACACAAATTTAAAAGACAATCGTTGGTGTTACCAGCGCGGTGGCTCACATCTGTAATTCCAGCACTTTGGGAGGCCGAGGCGGGTGGATCACCTGAGGTCGGGAATTCAAGACTAGCCTGACCAACATGGAGAAACCTCGTCTCTACTAAAAATACAAAATTAGTCGGGCATGGTGGTGCATGCCTGTAATCCCAGCTACTTGGGAGGCTGAGGCAGAAGAATCACTTGGACTCGGGAGGCGGAAGTTGCTGTAAGCTGAGATTGCGCCACTGCACTCCACCCTGGGCAACAAGAGCGAAACTCCGTCTCAAAAAACAAACAAACAAACAAACAAACAAAGACAATGGTTGGTATTTGGTATTTAAGGTTTTAAAATTGCATTTCTGTTTCTACCACCTGTAAGCTACAAAAATTAAATGGGTTTCTTTTGCCATCTGCGGTTATCACTGGTTCAAGTGAAAACTAGACACACTTATTTTAATAAGCCCAGTGGAAGCCACATTCCGTACTCATCTATTTATTGCTTAAGGCTATTGAGGGGTGGTTTTCCAGCCAGGGCTAAAGAAAGCCACTTTGGGAGTTCGGTTTCAGACGAGGAAGAAAATATGCACTCAAAGGCATTAAAAACAAAACAAAACAAAAAACCCCCCACAAACAACAACAACAAAATCTCAATGAGAAGCTGCTTTTTGCAGTTCATATTAAAAGTCAGATCCCGCTTCCTTAAAACCATGTAATGCAAGCTGTTGTCCTTAGCAGCTGCTACTCCTGGCCCGAGAAATGAAGGCGTCCCAGATCACATGTCACCAGCTTAGGCGCTTCTCACACCCTCGGTAACAGGTGTGCGGGGCACAGTCCGAGGAGAAGCCCTCAAGGGACTGCACCCGAGGATGGAGGACGGATCTCACCAGTGAAGCCTCAATGGCAAATGTTTTGATCATTTGATGTTGGAATAGATGTCAAATCCTAGCTAGAGATAAGTAAATTTCCTCATCATACACTGAGGTTAAGAAAAACATTCTGATAGAGTGAGATTCTCATTCAAGACTGGAGAAAGACCAGCACCATCACCTGGCAATCCAGGTGGTCCTTGTTCTCCTACCCACAGGGGGCCAGGTCTCAAGTTTCCTATTCTCAAGCGAGCTTTCAGACCCAATGGGCCAGTTCTTTCAGATGGCAACAAATATCTGATGAATGAATGAATAAATACAAGTGACCAGAAGAGTTAGTGAACACAAGGACTAATATGATTAGTTCCCTCTAAAAAATTTTTTTTTTAAAGAACAAGGAATACATTGGACAAAAAGGATGACAATCCCTGATCTGAAATAGCTTTAAATAGATTCTCTCTCCCTTTTAAAAATGAAACACCTTAAAACCACAACGGTTTGGGCTTTTAAACTCTCCCCTTCCCCTTAATAAAAAAGGCTGGAAAAATATACAAAAACCTACCCTTTGGGTGTAAACTATCTGATAGTCTCTCTCTCTGTCTCATGGAGAATCAATACATAATAGTGCATTAGGTAGACAGGATAGTAGACATCTGCAGACGAGATGAGCAGTTTCAGCCATGAGGCAGAGGACTGAATAACCCTGAAGCGGTGCTTCCATGGGGAAACGGGATGGGGAAGGTATCATTCAAATGGAGCTCAGTGCAGACCTCGTAGGTCCAGGCACATGCCCCTAGAAAGGCAGCCCAAGGAAGCAGCAGCCGAGGGGTGCGGCTGCCCCCACACAGACGCATGCGCACTGCACATCGGTGTGCCGCTGGGTCAGTGGGGAGCACTCTCCCCCAGCCCCGTTGGACACCAAGGCCACAAAAGTACATTCCTTCTGGGTGTCTGTCCCCACACACCCCGTCGAGCCATTTCTGCAGCCAGTGGCAGGGAGCCCAAAACATTTTTGCAAAGGACTCCAAAGTCAGGACAACCAAAGGGGACAGCCTCCTCTTCCCTGCCCTGAGGGTCAGAGTTCAGGTTGAGGGTCCCAAGAACATGCCCTTACTATGACCTGGACCTCAGCCAAGACCAGGGCTGTGAACTCTGTTGTTTCACTTGGGACCATGACCTGAGGGGACAGATTGAGGGCACTGGGCAGAATTGTCCCCATCACCCTGGAGCTTTCGTAGCAGCGGCTTGACCTGGCTCCGCAGGGCTGCAGATCATGTACACCCTATTCCTAGCTGCTGCCATCACCTGCCTAAAGGCGTGGGCTGGAGGGGCACGGCATCTGAGACCTGAAATAGTATACATTGGCATTTGCCACGAGAAAGAAAGAGGCAGCTTTGCACTCAGAGCCTGTACCCATATCAACTAGCTTTACTTCAAGTTTCTGGTTCATTTTCTAAGGCAGGTGAAGCCCTGAGCTTTTCAAAGGCCTGAGCTCCCTCCAGGGAGACAACAGTATCTACACATGATGTGGTCATTTAATGCAGCAGTGATTTTTTTTTCTTTTTCAGCAAAAGTTGGCGGTTAGGGTTCTTTAAAATATATATTTAAATAACTTTTTACATTTACATACAATATCTTAAAAAAAAAAAAAAAAGCAGAGAACTCAATCCCACACCTCAGAACCCCAAGCACACACACTTTACAAAACAGAACAACAACATGTTATCAAAAGAGGCAAAGGACTCGGAGAATTTTGTCTGTTGATTTGTTAATGGGGTAGGGGGTGGTTTTGCCACAGGGGGCTCACATTTTGGGTTGACAAGGAGGGCTCTCTTTATTACCACTTTTGTGTGTTTGTCAAAGCTAAAAAATTTTTTTGTTTTTGTTTTTTGAAGGAAGTCAGTTTGGAGTCTCCATACAGTTCCCCATTTCCAGGTTAAGAGTTCCTCCTGAGCTCAGGCTCCGGTGCTGCTGCTGTCTGCTGAGCGAGATCTCGGTCCTGGGAAAGAGAGAGAACAATCATCAGGGGAGGGAGCTGGCATCACACATGGGACCAGGCAAGGGACTCAAGTGGCCCTGTCCCCAGCGTGTGGCAGGCCTGTGTATGCTAAAGGGCTGAAGCAGGCTCCAGTTCCCAGAGGGGCTCCATCTGTGCTGAGAGCACAGGTGCCCCCTGGAGACCCAGCCTCTCTCATTTGGATGTACTAAGAGCTTTCTAGAAGCCCTTAGGTAGCAATGAAAACCCAATATATTGGAGATGGTAACTGCGTGTCCAGTGTGCGTCAGGCCCTGGGAAAAGCAGGAGAGAGGACCCCCTCACAGAGCTTATGGACCTTAAGATAAAGTAATTTAGCAATAGGATAACAGGAAGTGAACAGAGGGTGTGCAGGTGATCTCAGAGGGGGCTGGAGTGTCGCTTAATCTAAGATTTGCAGGACAGAAGTAGTGGAGAGGTCTGGGAGCTGAAGTAAGCTTGGCATATGGGGAGAACGGGACGGGGCCACAGAGGGTGAAAGCAGCAAGGAGAGTGAACCAGCTCATCAGATGGGCTGGCAGGGGCTGGATCACACAGAACTGAGATGCTAACATTTTTTATTATTAATTTTTGAGACAGAGTCTTGCTGTGTTGCCTAGGTTTAAGTGCAGTGGTGAGATCATGACTACAGCCTCAATCCTTGGGCTCAAGTGAGTAGCCAATCTCTTGGGCTCAGACTCCTGAGTATCTGGGACTAATGGCATGTGTCACCCTGCCAAGCTAATTAAAAAAAAAAAAAGGGATAGGTTCATTCTCTGTTCCCCAGGCTGATCTCCAACTCCTGGCCTCAAGTGATCCTCCTGCCTTGGCCTTCCAAAGCACTGGGCCAGAAGTTAACTTTTTTTTTTTTTGAGATGGAGTCTCGCTCTGTTGCCAGGTGGAAACACAATGGGGCGATCTCGCCTCACTGCAACCTCCGTGTCCCGGGTTCAAGCAATTCTCCTGCCTCAGTCTCCTGAGTAGCTGAAACTACAGGCGCCCACCACCATGCCCAGCTAATTTTCGTATTTTTATTAGAGATGCGGTTTCGCCATGTTGGCCAGGATGGTCTCGATCTCTTGACCTGGTGATCTGCCTGCCTCAGCCTCCCAAAGTGCTGGGATTACAGGCGTGAGTCGACACACCTGGCCAATATTTTTAAGATTTTAAAGGTAATGGCAAGTCATGGAAGGATTTTCCAGCACAAAGACGTCAACTTATGTTTCAAAAAAGGCCACTCTGGCTCCAGGCGGAATAGAAAGCAAGACCAGTGACAGCAGACCAGTCAGAGATTATTGCCTCCGTCCTGGAGAGGAAAATGGGGCTGGACTGAGGGGATAGCAATGAGGGTGCAGAGAAGTAGATATATTTGGGATGTACTTTGCAGGTAGATCTTGTTGCAGTGCTACTCAGAGGTGCTAGACTCCACAGTTTATTACTGAGGCAGCATATTTGGAAATCTTGTAGCAATCTGATGTCTGTTGAATCTAATAATAAAATATCTGGACTGGTATCTTACATGTCTTTTGCTAAGTTTCATTTTCTGGGAATTCATTTTCATGGACTGAGGCAAAAACAAACAACTGGGGTCCTTCACAGACAAGTTGAGAAGCCCAGGAGGCTGGAGTGCAAGGGGCAGGGTGGGCATAGGGATGGGTCCTAGGCTTTTTTTTGTTTTTGAGATGGAGTCTTGCTCTGTCACCTAGGCTGGAGTGCAGTGGTGTGATTGCGGCTCACTGCAACCTCCACCTCCCAGGTTCAGGCGATTCTCCTGACTCAGCCTCCCGAGTAGCTGGAATTACAGGTGCCCGCTATGCCTAGCTAATTTTTTTTGTATTTTAGAGATGGGGTTTCACCATATTGGCCAAGCTGGTCTCAAACTCCTGAATTCAAGTGATTCACCCGCCTTGGCCTCCCAAAGTGCAGGGATTACAGGCGTGAGCCACTGGGTCCGGCCTTTTTTTTTTTTTTTGAGACAGAGTCTCGCTGTGTCCCCCAGGCTGGAGTGCAGTGGCGCGATCTCGGCTCACTGCAAGCTTCGCCTCCCAGGTTCACGCCACTCTCCTGCCTCAGCCTCCCGAGTAGCTGGGACTATGGGCGCCCACTACCGCGTCTGGCTAACTTTTTGTATTTTTAGTAGAGAGGGGGTTTCACTGTGGTCTCGATCTCCTGACCTTGTGATCCGCCCGCCTCGGCCTCCCAAAGTGCTGGGATTACAGGCGTGAGCCACCGCGCCTGGCCTTTTTTTTTTTTTTTTTTTTTGAGACCGTGTCTTGCTCTGTCGCCCAGGCTGGAGTGCAGTAGCTTGATCTTGGCTCACTGTAACCTCTGCCAACCAGGTTCAAGCGATTCTTCTGCCTCAGCTTCCCGAGCAGTTGGGATTGCAGGCACCTGCCACCACCCCTGGCTAATTTTTGTACTGAGTAACGAGAATGTTTACGAAGTGCCTCCTACATAATATCCCAGCCCTGCGAGTCATGAACAGACTCCATGGTTTTGCCATGTTGGCCAGGCTGGTCTCCAACCCCCGGCCTCAAGTGATCCTCGGCCTCGGCCTCCTAAAGTGTTGGGATTACAGGCATGAGCCACTACCCTCAGCTGGTGCTAGGTTTTTGGTGTGCGCATGTGGATGGGAAGCAGGGCAGAGGGGGAAATAAGAGCACTGCTGTGGACATGACAGGCTGCAGGCATCTTGGGGGAGAGATCCCGAGATTGCGGAAGCAGAGGGCTCAAAGGGTCTGAACTTCAAGGGAGGAGGGCTAGGCTGAGGAGTAACCCTTGGAAGTCTTCAGTCTCAGACAGTGTTTAAAGCTAAGGGCAAAAAAGAAGTCACTCAGAAAACGCTTAAGACAGAAGATGAGGAGACGACCCTGATGGAAACTCCTGCTCTGACCTACTGCCATTTCCTGCTCTCACCTGCAGCCTCAGTGGCCGTGGCGCTGGACTCCTGAGTGTCCTGAAGGGCATTAGGGAAGCTGGCCCTGGCAGCACCCGCCTCCTCCGGAGGGCAGCCAGGCCGCAGCAGGGCCCTAGCCTGGCAGCACAGAGCCCGCTCCTCTTCCCGGGTTGCTCCCAGGCCCCTATGGGGCCGTGGGGTGTCCGGGCCCCGCGTCCCACCCCAGGAGCCGAGGCTGTGGGTCCCTTGGCAGTCCGAGGGCAGGCCCAGGTCACAGTCCACATCCTCCGGAATGATGGGGATGCGCTGGCTCAGGTCCCGGGCCCCGGGGTAGCAGCCGGGCGGGGGCTCCTCGGTGAGCGTGTACTGCACACTCACCGAGTAGTCCTCAGTGTAGCAGCCGCTGCCCCCTCCGCCGCCACGGGCCACCTGCTTCTCTTCATAGAAGCAGCAGGGCAGGCCCTCGTATTTCACCCCATCTGTCCTGGGCAAATGGTCAGGGTGAAGGCCGTACAGGCCCTGGGAGCTTCCTGACTGGGGCTCCCCACCCGCCGGGCCGGAGCCCTCGTAAAGGTGGGGCCCCAGGAACAAGGTGCTGCTGCCAGCTGCTCCGGCACTAGGTCCGGGTGGGGAGGGTTGGGGCTCGCAGCAGCAGGCACACGACGGCCCCTCGTGGCCCCCCTTCCAGGTCCTCCTGAGGTCCGGGGCGGCCCCAGGAGAAGCCTCGAGCCCCACTTCTGAGGTAGAGCTATTGGGCCCCCTGTGCTCCAGGGAGGAGTTGCTGCTGTAGTTCATCTCCAGGCTGCAGGTGGACACCTGATCCCCCGAGGGAGAGGCAGGGCCCGGCCAAGGCTCGCCCCGCCCAGCACCATGACTGTGCACCACCGGGAGCTCCTCGGGGGGAGGGGAGCCCTCGAAGCACACGGCAGGCCCCCGGCCCGAGCTGCCCGAGCCCCCCGCCTCACTGGCACGACAGGGGCTCCGGCTGCGGTAGATGAAGGGGTCATAGTCGCTGCTGAGGGAGCTGCGGAAGGTGGAGCAGCTCCCGTACACGCCCTGGTTGCTGACCTCAGTGCAGTCTACCACAGAGTCACTGGAGGAACAATGGCACTGGCCGGAGCTGCTGCTGCTGCTGCTGTCGCTGCCCGGGCAGTCGGCCAGGTAGCCACTGCACACCGAGCGGTGGCCGTGATAGCAGCTGAAGCTGGACGTGCTGCCGCTCTCCAGGTGGGAGTGGGAGGGCGGGGCCACGTGCACCACTGTGGGGAAGAGCAGGCTGCCACTGCCGCCGGGAGGAAAGGCGCTGGGAGGAAAGGCACGGGCCGGGCCCCGGGGCGTGAGGCTAGGCGGGGACTGCCCCTCCTGCTCCGGGTAGCTGAGGCCCTGGAAGTAGTAGTGCTGGTACATGGTCTCATACTGGGAGAAGCAAGCTGCCTTGGAGAAGCTGCGGCCGCTCAACTTGGGCCTGCGGAAGGGGTGGGCTGGAGAGTAGGCCCGGTGCTCCAGGCCGCAGCGGTGAGCGGCCAGGCTGTGGTCCAGGTGGAGGGGTGGGTAGCTGCGGATGTAGGCGGGGGTCTGCGGGGAATAAAGGCTCTGCTCCCCGTTCCGGTCCACGGTCAGCAAGGTGACGGGGTTGCCGTGGGAGTCCATGCTTGTCCTCGTTGGGTAGGCTGGGATGGCGTTGGTCCTGTGCACGCGGCCGGGGTAATGCACCGGCAGGGTCACCCTCTGCTGCCGACCACGTGAAAGGTTGCTGGTCTCCACACACACGGCACTTGGGTTTCCCTTTTGTTCTGGGGACAAGCGGAGGAAACAGAGTAGGCAGGGTTGAGCATACTGGTGTCAGGGGCTAGAGGGATTTTTAAAACGGGCAGAGGCTGAAGCAGCAGGCTTGGTCACCTGCCGAGGTGCCCATTCTCACAACCCTGCCCCCAAACTCAGCTGCAGTGGCAGAGGTTGACCTGCCTATCTGTGTGAAATGGCCCATCTCCTGTAAAGGCCCCGCTCCCAACTCCCCACTGCTCTGCCTGACTGGGCACCACAGGAGTCTGCAGAAAAGAATCAGACTCAAAGACGCCAGTGTCCCTCCATCCCTGTTTAATGACACAGTGATGCAGGAGCAACAGCACAAGCTGGTCACTGCACACTCATCGTCCCTCATGGTCCTAGGAACACCCCATGGTGCGGGGTGTGGGCAACCATCATTACTGTTACTGCCACTAAAGACATTAGGGGCCTCAGGCCTGGGAGAGGCCAGATGTCTTGCCTGAGGTCAGGAAGCTGCTTAATGTGAAGCCCAAACTTGAACTCAGGGTGATTCTTAATGCCAGGCTCTCCTAAGGGTTGTGCAGACAACCTCCAAAACCCAGGGCTGCCAGGCCTCCAAGTCCAGAGGGCAGTGCCACAGTGGCTCTGCTCGCTCCCAAGCGTGTGGTGTGTGTCACACTCTAGCTAGGCACTTAGTAGGGACAGCGTCCTCTAACTTGACTCTTCAGCAATGGCTGAGGCAGGTGACAGTTACCTATGATGTTGTGCCGACAGTGGGGGCAGGTGTGGTGCTGCAGCAGCCAGGGGTCCACGCACTTCCTGTGAAACCGGTGAGTACAGGGGATGACCCGCAGCTCCTGGGCAGGGAGAGAGGGGACACAGGTCTGCCTTCAGCCTCGCAAGTGTGTCCTCCTGCAGAGCCCAGCACAGACCAAGGAGCGCTGCACTGCATGCCAGTGCCCTTCCCCACTCCCCTCCCCACCTCCAATTAGGGCTCAATTTCCTAGAAGCAGGGCCCACCCATATGTTGTAGGGAGAAGGAAACTGCCAGCAGTCAGCCCCCACTACAGTCCTCAGTGTTAAGGGAGTGGGCACGCACAGAGGCAGGCGTCTTTCCGGTAGTTGGAGGAGGGCAAGCACACTCATGCCTCCACCCAGGGAAGGCCAAGGCCTTGTGCTAGTGAGGATGCGAGGCCTAGGGGTATGGAGAGAGGACCAGGTATACCCCAAGATATTCTGCATCTCTGAGGTGCTGCCTACCCCCGGGTATCCCAAATGGGCAAGAGTAGAAAGGAAGATGCCTGGGACTCATGATTGACAGATGGGGCAGCAAAGGGGCAAAGCTCTGCTCTCCCCTCCTTTACTGGACCCTGAACCTCATCATGGGGGTACATGGTTTATAAGAAAAGCAACCTATCTAGACAGATGGAGTTATTGGAATAGAACCACCTTCAGAGTTCCTAAGCCTAAGCATCTTCCAGATTTGCTCATTTTACTTTGTCTTTCAATTTTCTGACCTGTCTAGCACAATATTCCAGCTCATACCTAACACTGTGCCTGACAGAATGACAAAGGGTCTACCCTGGATCTTCTCATGGAACCCTCATTATCACCTGGAATACTGGTCAGTGTTGGGCCCATGTCACAGGAAAACAAAATCACTTGCCCAAGGTCACAAAACTAGAATCCACTCAGGCCAGGATTAGAATCCAGAGTCTGTGTAAGAATCTAACTATTCTATTCTGCAAAAATTCCGTTTCCATCCAACAGTCTCTGCAGCAGTGGAATATTTTCAGCAAAGGGGCATCAAATGTCTGTAATTCTCAAGTGGTTTGCTCCCTACCCCCCAAATATGTTTATGTATGTATCTGTCTAGAAAGAGGGAGAGTGAGGGAGGGTGAGCAAGTGTGGCAAAATGTACATCATGGATGATTCTAGGCCCTTAACATCTATCGTCTATGGTACTAGTCTTTTCTGAAGGTCTGAAATTTTCTTTCTGAGAGAGACAAGGTCTCACTCTGTTGCCCAGGCTGGCATGCAGTGGTGTAATAATAGCTCACTGCAGCCTCGAATTCCTAGCCTCAACTGATCCTTCCACCTCAGCCTCCCAAGTAGCTAGGACTACAGGCATGATACTAGGCCTAAAATTTTTAAAGAGCTACAAGAAAAAAAAGTGAGGGATATAAAATCCCGTCTCTTTGTAAGTAAAAACACCCAGTCAAGTATCAAGTTAAGTCTCAGAATTTTCAGAAGAGCGACTCTAAAAGTTGGCGTGTGTGATGGAACACAGGGCCCTGTCCTTCTAGGTCTTGGGCACCTCTGCTGACCTGTCTATGTTTTCCCACCCAGGATGGGTCTGCTTCTGCCGTTACCTCTCCATCAATGTACTTCTCCAGACAGATGGCACAGTCGGATGTGGAGCTGCTGCTGAGTGTGTCCAGGGCCCCACAGCTCCCCTCCCGGCGTCCCTTGCTCTTGGAGTTGAACTTTCTGGTTTCCATCTTCTCCAGAGCCTGCACAGCCAGCCTGTTCATGGAATTCTGCATGGCAGAATGTGGTCTGTGTGAGGGTCCAGTACATATGACAGTGGCAGTCACCCCAGGGACATGACACTCGATTCACTGGGTCAGGCGGACAATTCTCTATCACGCCAGAACACTTCTGAGAAGTCGCTCAAAACTCAGACTGCCATAGCACATATTCTCCAGACGCATGGGGCGTCCACGACATCAACCTAGGCTTTTCCCAAGTGGCAAGACTAGCAGGGGTCTCTCTGATTTGAAGGCAGGGGTCTCCTCCAATTACCTGGACTTGCTGCCTCCTAACTCTGCCAGACCCTCAGTTATCAACCTGTTCTATGCCAAGGGTTCCTCCTCTTTCTGTTGAAAGAGGTGGTGATAGTAAATAGACAATGTGTAAGTGCTTAGCACCTGGCAAATAGGCTGTGCTCAAAAAACACAAGCCATCATCCTGTTGGGATTGGTCGCTTAACCTTCATGAGAACTTTGGTGATTCTCTTCTCTACAGATTGCCTTCCAGGATCCACCATCTCTCCCCTGAGACATGTCCCTGCCATACATTTGCGGGTCCAGATCTCTGCTTATCCTCTCACCACCCTCTACCCCTGAGTTTCTCCTTCCTACAAGCACAAAGTGATGTGGTAGCTGCAGTGCTACAGCAGCTACTGTTCATCAAGCATCACCCGGAGAGCCTGGTATACTGTGTAGGTGGTCTGAAGTGGGGCCTGAGACCCTGCATTTCTATCAGGCTTCCAGGTGCTGCTGTTGCTGCTGGACCACAGATCCTATCTCAGGACCAAGGCTCTAGGGCGCCACTTGATGCACTGGGACAGGCAAACACTTCTCAATCACGCCAGAATAGACTTCTGAGAAAGCACTCAAAATTCAGACTGCCACAGCACATATTCTAGACCTGTGGAGTGTTTATAATACTTATTAACATTGATTTAAACACTTCCTTTGGGCCAGGCGCGGTGGCTCATGCCTGTAATCCTAGCATTTTGGGAGGCCAAGGCAGGCGGATCACCTGAGGTTAGGAGTTTGAGACCAGCCTGGCCAACATGGTGAAACCCCATCTTTACTAAAAATAAAAAAATTAGCCGGGTGCCTTAATTCCAGCTACTCGGGAGGCTGAGGCACGGGATTCACTTGACCCTGGGAGGTGGAGGTTGCAGTGAGCCGAGATCATGCCACTGCACTCCAGCCAGGGTGACAGAGTGAGATCTTCTCTCAAATAAATAAAAAAATAAAATAAACACTTCCTTCGAAACACCTGCTGGGGATATTCCCAATGCTCAGCCTTTGTAGGACTAGCCCTTTTAGAACAGAGAAGGCACTGGGCTGTAAGTTTTGCTCTCTCTCTCTCTCTCTTTTTTTTTTTTTTTTTGAGACAGGGTCTTACTCTGTTACTAAGGCTGGAATGCAGTGGTGCGATCATAGCTCATTGCAACCTCTGTCCCCCAGGCTCAAGTGTTCCTCCCACCTCAGTCTCCCAAGTAGCTAGGACTACAGGTACGTGCCACTATGCCCAGATAATTTTTATATTTTTGCTAGAGACGGGGTTTTGCCATGTTGACCAGGCTGGTCTTGAACTCATGAGCTCAAGTGATCTGCCTGCCTCAGCCTCCCAAAGTGCTGGGATTGCAGGTGTGAGCCATGGTGCCTGGCCTAGTTTGCTCTTACTTTTTTTCCATCTTTGCTGTTTCTAGGCCACTGGGAACACGCTGCGGAGCTCCGAGTCCACAGCTGTGAGGCTCCATGTTGCACCATCAAAAAATAAGGTGGTAAGAGTCCTGGTTTTCCCCAGTGTCAGGGCAACAGGGGTTACTGCTCATGGGTTACACATAGAGGCCCCACCTGACTGCGTCGCTGCTTCAGCTTGATTTTGACAAGAAGGATGAGGCAGACCAAGGAGACCACGACGAAGAAAGCCAGGAAGATCCCCATGTCAAAGTATTCAGTGGGTTGCTAGAATGGAACACAGACACAGTGAGTCACAGCCTCTCTGCAGCCTGGTAATCGGCACATGGGCTATCTTGGCTTGGTCAGGATAAAGATGGGGTGACTGGGATGAGTTTCCCCTCAATTTGCAGGAAACTCCTGGGGTTCTGCTCACATGTACATGGTGTGCTCCCTAGGCCCATGTAGTGCCTTCGGTGTGGCCCAGGGGGATGCCTGTGGCGATCTCAGCCAGGCCCCCCAAGAGCCAAGGGGACTCTTGGTAAAGCCTGGCTCCCCGTGGAATACTGCAAAGTTGGCTGTAACTGGTAAGAAAGGCCCTTCCAAATAAACACAAATAATCACATTTATAGGACAAAAGAGTAAGTGTCATGTTTTGAGGGAATAGTGATTATTAACCATATAATTAATAGTTTACAACAACTCAGAAAATTGTATGCTGCTTCCACAAATATCAGCTTCCACTACAATGAGTCATATTTACCAAAGCGCTTTTTTTTTCCTTTAAAAAGAAGCCAGCAAGTCAGTTCAGCAAACTCCCCCTACTTTTAGTTCTTACCTTTTCCTCACTGCCTCCTAAAACCTCGCAGCCACCCTATCTGGGACCTCCATTTGGCCAATGGGAATAGAGCATTGTAAAGTGGAAGCTGCATGTATCCGGCTATGTTGTGCATGGAAAAGCATCATCCTACACTGTGAATGTCCCAATATTTGTGAGGAGGAAATAACACCAATATAGGGCACCAGCCCAAGGTTCCTGGAATTCTTCAGCTTGAGGTTTGAGCAGAAGAGGCCGGTTAAGAGTTAGTGGCCAGTAGTGTCTCTTCCACATACTTAAGAGATGCAGATGCTATTCATTAGCCATCGAACTCAATCCCAGTTGAAAGCTAACTTTTCCAGACTTAAATTACCTTGGGGAGTTTCAATAAGGTAATCTACTTTACAGAAAGAAGGAAATACAAGCCTTTTTTCTAGTGTCTAAGTCAGATTGAAGAAGGAAGACACGGGAAGGCAGGTGCTGGGTGCCCCATCCCTTCAATCCTCCTCAGTTTGCCTTTCAGAGGGAGATGGGATGGAAAAGAAAGGATGAGAGATTGCCAAGAGGGAATGCCAGGTGGAAGAGGCCAGAGACATCTTAGCACAAAGGTATCTATTTCTGGTAGGATTTTTCAAATTCGCTATAAAGGAACACGAGTAACATTTCTCCCTGGCCTTGAGTCCAGTAGGTGATCTAAGCCTGCAGGAACCTGGGGTTGCCAGCATTTTAGAGAGATAGGAATGAAAGGCCAAGGGAAATAAAGGGACAGGTAGTAGCAGAGAAGGCCCCGAGCCTGTGCCAAACAGTGTGGAGGCTCACTCGAGGAGGGCGGTGCTGGATCCTTGCTCGAGCCACTTTCTGCTTGTTGACGATGTTCATCAGCTTAATGGCATCTGCACCCTTTACATACACCACCGGCCTCTTGAGTGGGTCTTCCGAGCCCTGGTTCAGCTAAGGAAGAAAAGAGGGCTCTGGTTAAAAGGTGTGCTTACTTTAAGAAGCAGTAGAAAGAAAGGCTGGAGGGAAGGAACATTGAATACCTGTCTGGAATCCTCCAGCTCTTCCAACATTACAGCCTTCCCAATGTTCTTTTGGGAACATTACAGAGTTCCCAAAAGAGCAAGGCTGAGAATAACGCTTGTTTTGGGATGGACTGGGCAAGCAGAAGAGCCAGAAAGGTCTTAGAAAATGCCCCATGAGCCCGGCGCAGTGGCTCACGCCTGTAATCCCAGCACTTTGGGAGGCCGAGGCAGATGGATCACAAGGTCAAGAGTTCCAGCCTGGCCAACAAGGTGAAACCCCATCTCTACTAAAAATACAAAAATTAGCCAGGCGTGGTGGCGCATGCCTATAATCCCAGATACTTGGGACACTGAGGCAGGAGAATCGTTTTAACCCGGGAGGTAGAGATTGCAGTGAGCTGAGATTGTGTCAGTGCACTCCAGCCTGGCAACAGAGCAAGACTGTCTCGGGGGGAAAAAAGAGAAAATGCCTCCTGTGCCCCAATTCCCCGGCTCTTAACCTCACCCAGTACACCTCCCTTGGGGATTATGCCTAAACATGGACATCTAACTTCAGAAGACAAGAGCAAATGCCCTGAGATGAGGGTGACATAACCGGGACAAGCCAAGCTCACTAAAGGAAGTGCCTTTCTCAGGGAGGCTGCAGTGTTGGCATGGCCTGAGGAGTTTACCTGGTCAATAGCTTCTGGGTTTTCAGACACATCAAAGATGACTGCAGTAGCTCCCCGCTGTACCGCTCGCTTGGCCTGCCAGAGTAAAAAAGAGCAGGTTGGCCCTCTGGTCCTCTTACCTTTCCAAAGCTGGCCTTGGCATTCAGGCCTGTAATCAAATGCAGAATCTGACAGTTACCAACTTATGTGACATCAGGGACGTTACCTCACTTTCCTAACCCTCAATTTTCCCATCTATAAAGAAGGGGACCGATAACTAGAGTTAACAATAATACATAGTTTCAAATAGCTAGGAGGAGGATATTCCCAATACAAAGAAGTGATAAATGTTTGAGATAATGGATATGCTAATTACCCTGATCTGATCACTATACCTTGTATGTATTATCACTATGTACCCCACGAATATGTACAATTATTATCTGTCAATTAAAAAACTTTTTTTTTTAAAGAGGACAATTTCACCTACCTTGTATAGTAATTGTGAGGTCAGATGACTTACAATAGGGGAAAATACATAATTGATTACTTAACAAACTTTTGTCTTCCTATCCAGCCCAAATACTGAAAACGACCTACACATTAACAACCTGCCCGGTCAGTACAGAGGTACTGATTTCAGTATTTCCTGTTTCAGAGTCACTGGCAACCAAAGCAAATGCCTTTGGTCCATCTCATGTGGTTCCTTTTTCCTTCCCATGTCACCCAGTTAGAAGAATATATTGAGTATTTCTGAATGAGTCTCAGAATGGTTAATTTTAATAAGTGACACAAGCCGAAGACCTCTGGAGACACTGTCGGTGGTGGGAGCTGTGAAAAATAATTGTAAATGGGGTTTTGAAGCAGTTGGCTGCCAGACCTGGCTACACATCAAAAGCCACTTGGGAAGTTTGTAAAGCAGATTTCCTGGCTCAAACCACAGAGACTGATTGAGCAGGGCTGGAGTCAGGCCCAGGAAACTGAGTTGTGTATGCTTTCTGGGGGATTCAGATGATTCAACCATTTGGGGAACTACCGATCAGAGAGATGAGATTAGAATGTTTTAGGAACAAATGAGAAGTGATGGGATTCTTTTTGGGGGAGGTGGGGGAAGGACTCCTTTCCATCCCAAAGAACCTTCTAATTCTATGTCCAGCTAAGGTGACAGCAAGGTAGAAGCTGTGGAAAAACAAGACTTAAGATATAGCCTGGCTGGAGTTCGAGACCAGTCTAGGCAACATAACAAGACCCCATATCTAAAAAATAACAGAAAAATTAGCTCGGTGTGGCAGGGCATGCCTGTAGTCTCAGCTACTCAGGAGGCTGAGGCAGGAGGTTTGATTGAGCCCAAGAGGTAGAGATTGAGTTGTGATTGGACCACTTCATTCTAGCCTGAATGACAGCGCAAGACCCTGTCTTCACAAAATACATACATACATACATGCATACCCTGGCTTTTAGGAGCCTGAATCTTGTTAGAGAAGTAAGACACTTCTAATGTGTGTATGTATAGAAGGCAAAACCAGCCTTCTATAAGATGGGCAAATGATGGCTAGTGCTTAGAGATCAATAGAGTTAATATTGGCCACAGTGCTTGAGAAAGAATAAAATTGAAATTCCTTTCCATAGGAATAATCACTCTACATTGACGGGGCGTGAGAAAGCCACATTGCCCAGAACACAGCTAGACCAATGGCTCCACTGGGCCACTAGAGGGCAGTCTCACCCTATAGCTTTTACAACAAACCAATTCCTTGTATTTAGCACCAAACAGTACCAAAAACAACTTCAGTAAAATCTTCAGTATACTGCAAGTTCCTTGGCAGTTCAAGAAGTTCTGGCACCCTGGACAATCTGTCCTTGTCTTGCAGGGGACCCTTTCTTTTTGAATGGAGATTCAATGCATTGAAAGTCTCAATGCATTGTTCACCACACCCTGTTTCATCACCAGATTGCTAGTCGAGGAGTCAGGAATGAATGCTGGGAGCTATTCCTGCCTCTGCCACTGGCATGCTGCTAACAGTGGACAAGTCACTCAATCGCTTTCAGCCTCAGCCTCAGTTTCCCCATCTGTTAAAAATAAAAAGGCGGTGGGGGATGGCTGGGCACGGTGGCCTATGCCTGTAATTCTGGCACTCTGGGAGGCTGAGGCTGGTGGATCACCTGAGGTCAGGAGTTCCAGACCAGCCTGGCCAACATGGTGAAAGCCTGTCTCTACCAAAAATGCAAAAAATCAGCTGGATGTGGTGGCATGTGCTTGTACTCCGGGAGGCTGAGGCAGGAGAATCGCTTGAGCCTGGGAGGCAGAGGTTGCAGAGATCACGCCACGGCACTCCAGCCTGGGCGAGAGTGAGTGAGGCTGTCTTAAAAAAAAAAAAACAGGTGGCGGGGGCCGGGCGCGGTGGGTCAAGAACTGTGACACATCCAGCACTTTGGGCAGTGCCAGCGACCGGCGGGATGCACGGAGGTCAGGAGATGAGACATCCTGGGCTAACAGAACGGTGAAACCGCCCCGTCTCTACTAAAAATCACAAAAAACTAGCAGGCGAGGGGCGGAGCAGCCTGTAGTCGCAACTATCTGCCGGGAGGCTGAGGCAGGAGGAATCAGGCGGTGAAACCCGGCCGAGGCGGAGCTTTGCAGTCCCGAGCTGCGATCCGGGCCACTCGCACTCAGCCTGGAAGGCGAAGAGGCGAGACTCCGTCCTAAAAAAAAAACGAATAAATCATAAATAATAACCCGGAAGTACAATATTACCGAGAAAGAAGCTAGGCCGGGCAGGTGGTGGGTTGCGCTGTAGTGCTCGGCTACCAAGACGGCGTGAGGCACGCGAGACATGGCCGTAAACCTGGGAGCGGTAGCTTGCCAGTGGAGCCTGAGATCGTGGCCACTGCCTAGCTCTGGGCGACTCCAGAGCAAGACTCCCAGTCTCAGAACAAAAAAAAAAAAAAAGAGGGGGGCGGGTCTTCGTGTGGGTCGCGGGGCAAGGCGCCTATGTTATTATGACTAGGGTCCTTTCTAAATTCCCAGCCTTGGCCACTCAACTGAGAAGCAGTGGGCTATCAGAGCAACTCAGAACTGCACTGGCCCTGTCACCCTCTTCCAGGAAGAGAGGATGCTGATGACACAGCTGATGGCACAGCTGAGAAAGTGTGAAGCCAGGGTGGCGTCACTTTCCTCCACCATGGAGCTATCTATCTTTCTATCTATCAGAGATGGGCTTTCACTCTGTCACCTGGGCTGGAGTGGTGCGATCACAGCTCACTGCTGCCTGAAACTCCTGGGTTGGAATGATCCTCCTGCCTCAGCCTCCTGAGTAGCTGGGATTGCAGGTGCATGCTACCATGCCAGGCTAATTTTTTTTTTTTTTTTGTAGAGACAAGGTCTCACTATGTTGCCCAGGTTGGTCTTGAGCTCCTGGGCTCAAGTGATCCTCCCATTCCGGCCTCCCAAAGTGCTGAGATTACAGGCATGAGCCATGGACAACCATACTGGCTATCCATAGAGTTCTTTAGGGACACAGACTACTTTGCCCGAGGCCAACAGCTCATGGATCTCATGGATGCCAGAGTTAATATAATTGTAAGTAGATGCTGGTGTTTTCCGCTTAGGTGGTATCCCAGGCTTTTTCATAAATTCCTTCTCCAGACATAGAAGGGCCCTGAGGAAAAGCACTAAAAATGAGGAAATAAACAGGCCCTCTCATTCCTTTATTTGGCTTTCATTCTACAATCAAGCACATCAAACAGCACCCTCGGGGAATGTGCAATTCAGATAAGTCCAGATCAGGAGCGCTGTGCGGTACCTGCACTTTGATGCGGGTGCACCTGGAGAGTCTAATGGCCTCGGGATGAAAGGCTGCAGGATCTGGGGTAGGGAATGCCTTCCCAGGAGAGACATGCCTCAGGGAAGCCATTTAGCCACATGGCCTTCTTAAAGTTCAGGCTTCCCTGCTCCGCCCAGAACGTGGAGGTCTCAAGGACTCAGAGGTTCCGAATGAAGCATGAGCCATTTGAGAAACATAAAATACGTTTTTCACAAAATCTTGGACATGGTGTTATGTTTCCTGGTTTTTACAGTGAAGAGGGCAGGTCAATAATAAGGCAGCTGGTTGCAGTTGCATGGGCCTGTAATCCCAGCTACTCGGGAGGCTGAGGCGGGAGTATCACTTTAGCCCAGGGTTTTGAACCTGTTTCTCTCTCTCTATATATATATATGGTGCTTAAATTCCATTTACAGCTTGACTTCCAATACAACCAGGCTAATGTACGGGATCTAAGGACACATATCTTGTTTGAGAAAATGCTTCATTCACACAGGTGATCTACTTTTAAAATTACATTTAATGTAAACTACTATTAAAATAAGTTTGCACTTCCTGTACATACCAGGACTGGACAGGAGAGAAGCCAAGCTAAGACCCTGTTGGGAATTCGCTTGTCAGAAGCCAGCTTAGGATTTAAAATAGGCTACGAATAACCCATATTTAGAAGAAGACACCTTTATTATATTGTTCGGAAAGGAAATTTAAAAAAATACAGGCCAGGTGCAGTGGCTCATGCCTGTAATCTCAGCACTTTTGGAGGCTGAGGCAGGAGGATTGCTTGAAGCCAGGAGTTCAAGACTAGCCTGGGTAATATAGCAAGACCGTCTCCACAAAAAAGTTAAAAACTATCCAGGCATGGTGGCGTTCACCTGTAGTCCCACCTACTCAGGAGGCTGAGGTGGACTGCTTGAGCCCAGGAGGCTGAAGGTGTAGTGAGCCATGATTGTGTCACTGCACTCCAGCCTGGGTGACAGGGTGAGACCCTGTCTTAAAAAGAAAAACAAAAACAGAACATTACTTGGTCATTCTCTGCCCCTTGCCCATATTTTCAGTTTAAAAATTGATGAGGCATATTCCTTGAACCAATCACTCTCATAGATCATTCACCATTTTACTTACTCAAGTGTAGACCAGAATATTATTTCAAAACAAACCTAGACCCTAGTTAGGAGTTCACAGTCTTGTGACCACCAGAAATCCTATCTTTAGGATCTTTAAGTTACATACTTAACGTGCAAAACTCTGAAGCTGGGGCCCTTTCAAAGAAAGGAT